TTTTTTTTTTTTTTTTTTTTTTTTTTTTTTTTTTTTTTTTTTTTCTTTTTTTTTGTGTGTGCACAACGACGCCTGATTTCTCTTGTCCCGCTCTCTGCTTATGTACATACGCATACACCCACGCACAAATGTATAATAGTTCAGGACTTGACGGATCGCAGTCGTCGAGTTAACGATGGAGAAAAAAGTTAGTATTGCTCTTGAATGTTTTTATTTTTTATTTTTGTGTTTAAAAAAAATGCGAACATAGTTTGTTTTTTTTCGATGATGAATAATATACATATGCCAACGTAGGTGAGCGGAAAAGCGGAAAAATCGGTGGAGAGAAATGGAAAAACCAAAGACGAGGAAGAAAGTCGGGCCCAACCGAGCGATAAATCACCGACCAGCGTAAGAGTCAACTTCGAGATCGACCTCGTGTCGGTCTTTTTGCTGCTATCGAGCATATCGACACGCTTCCATCGTATAAAGGAACCAGCTAGTATTGTGTGAGTAAAATTTAAAAAATAAAATAAAAATAAAAAAATAAAAAATCACTATAGGTATATAATTCGAATCGCAGGTTCGACGAGTTGCATTACGGAAAATACGTGAGCCTGTACATGAAGAAGACCTTTTTCTTCGACTCGCACCCTCCGCTTGGCAAACAGCTCGTGGCCGGTGCCGCCTACTTGACCGGCTTCGACGGGAACTTCAAGTTCGACAGAATCGGCTCTCCCTACGCGGCCGAGGTCCCCCTGCTCGCGCTGAGATTCCTGCCCGCCTTCTGCGGAAGCTTGCTCGTACCGACGGCTTACCACTTGGCCCTGGAACTGGGCCTGAAACAGTGGAGCGCCGTCATCGCGGCTCTGCTGCTTCTTTTTGGTGAGCCAAGAAATGCACTTCCAGCGCGCGTACGCAATCACTTATGCTGTACGATTTAACTTTCACAGATAACGCGCTCGTCACGCAATCTCGATTCATCCTGATGGAGAGTATACTCATCGAGTTCTCCCTCATCGGCTTGCTCTGCGTGCTCAAGTTCCGCAAAGTCATGGACAAGCCGGCGACGCTCGCGTGGTGGTTTTGGCTCGTCGCCGGACAAGTAAGCTTGACTTGCGCTCTCTGGTACGTGATTTATGCGAGAGAAAAACTGTTTCGATGTCCGTTCAACTTTTCCATACTGCTTTCAGCGTCAAATACGTCGGCTTTTATACGCTGCTTCTTGCCTTGTACCTGATTGGTCGGGACTACTGGTCGCTGATCGCGAGAAAGACCCTGTCGACGATGATGCTGTACGTTCACTTGGTCGCAAGAATATGCGTGATCGGAATAGTCGTAGTTTCCGTTTACATGGGCATATTTTACGTCCACCTGTCGATTCTCACGAAAGCCGGGCCACACGATTCCGTGATGACTAGTGCCTTCCAGGCGAGCCTGGAGGGTGGCTTGGCGAGTATCACTAAGGGCCAACCGGTCGAGGTCACGCACGGCTCACAGATCACTCTGAGGCACACGTACGGCAGGGCCTGCTGGCTGCACAGTCACGACCAAATGTATCCTCTGCGCTATGCCGACAACCGTGGTAGTTCCCATCAGCAGCAGGTGCGTCAACCAATGGGGATGGATGATGTTAACGAGGCAATAAAGAGATTGACACGTGTTGTTTTATTTTTTTACGCAAGGTCACTTGTTACTCGTTCAAAGACGTGAACAACTGGTGGATCGTCAAGAGACCGAATGTCGACGACTTGGTTGTGACGAAGCCGAGCGAGCCCATCCGACACGGTGATATTATACAGTTGGTGCATGGTATCACGAGTCGTGCCCTCAATTCCCACGACGTCGCGGCTCCGATGACCCCGCAGAGCCAAGAAGTATCCTGTTACATTGATTACAACGTGTCCATGCCAGCTCAAAATTTGTGGCGACTGGAAATCGTGAATAGAGATCAGTTTGGAAACACTTGGCACGCGATACAGTCGCAAGTATGAAGTTTTTTTTACGTTAGTGCGTTTACTGTTGAGCGTCGATATGAATGGTTGATCAATGAACGTTGTTTCTGTAGGTGCGGTTGGTACACACAAACTCGAATTGCGCTCTAAAGTTCAGCGGAAGACAATTGCCAGACTGGGGATTCAATCAGCACGAAGTGGTGGCCGACAGGCACGTGGATCAGTCGGATTCCGTGTGGAACGTTGAGGAACATCGTTATACAAAAAATGAGGATCAAAAGCAGAGAGAAAGAGAATTGCTCAACGCTGAAATGATTCCGCTCAAAGCTACAACACTGACGTTTTGGGAAAAATTTTTGGAACTGCAAGCTAAAATGCTGTTCAGTGGCCATGAGGTGCAAAATACCCACATGTATTCTAGTAGTCCATTAGAATGGCCCACGATGACCAGAGGCATTGCCTACTGGGTTTCCACGAAAAGCAATGTATAAATTAAATTTAAAATCAATTATAGTACTCCTTGGGGCTTGTGTAACTGTATCATTTTATATTTTAGGCACAAGTTTACCTGCTTGGTAACATAATTGTTTGGTACACTGGTACGTTGGCAGTTTTATTCTACTTTGGTGCTTTAGTTTTTTATCTTGCAAGACGACGAAGGATGTGTCACGACATTTGCGAACGCGAATGGACTCGTTTTGTATCTTTTGGTGAAGTTTTATTCATTGGCTACTTGCTACATTATTTACCATTTTTTTTAACCGAACGGACTCTATTTTTACATCATTATTTACCGGCATTTGTTTTCAAAGTACTCTTGACTTCCGCAACGGTGGATCATATTTACTACGTATTAAGGTAAATTAATTTTGTTGAAATACTGGTAAACACTTTGTTGCATCATTTATTTTTAAAAATATTAAGCATCGATGCTTTGTGTTTCAGGTACAAATATAATTCAAAGACTGTCTTGATAGCTTACACATTGAGCATTATGTGCTGGGTCGTCTCTGTAATGTACACCTTTTATAAATTTTCTGCTGTCAGTTACGGCATCACGCCTCTATCCGCAAAGGAAGTTATGAAATTAAAATGGAACGAAGACTGGGACTTTATTATTCATAAAACATAGACACTTAAATTAACTGAAAAAAAAAAAAAAAAAAAAAAAAAAAAAAAAAAAAAAAAAAAANATCAAATATATGAAAAGCTCTTTAAACGAATCATAACTAGAAAAAAATAAATTTATAATAAATAGACAGATTACAATATGTAAGTTGATTAATGTTGGAAAATTATATTGAACGCATGTTTTTCTTGATTTCCCATAATTTTCACCCTTTGTAAGAAAAAATGAAAAAAAGAGAGGAATTGAGAGAAACGCAAATAATAAGGTGGGACACTGGTTTTTAACAGAAATGTTTAAAATAAAAACAAAAAATATGTACGCACCAGCAAGTCATTCACCACGTCCAATTATAAGAAATTTTTATATTTTTATGAAACAAAAATATGTAATGTAGAGTATAAAGTTTATAAACTGTTATGACCGATGTAGACACAAAATAAATAAACAAAATATTTCAAAATTCTTGTTTCAAGTCAGAATCAACAAAAATGTTAACATTAAGTGCTTAAAATAAAAATAAGTATGTATCAGTCGTGTTAAAAAAGAATGGGTTACGACTGATCGCGAAAAGATCGAAGGTATTTTCCACTTATTACACGCGTAACAAAAAAAAAAGTACTATGCGAACAACTGTTTGATCTTTTTACTAATTACAATTACCTCAAATCGTGTTGAAAAAGTTGCCTATTTTACATGCTGCATATACACCCAAGTGAGTGGTGTATGTGTGATTTACAGGCTTCTTCTGCTAAATAATGTAAACATTATAGTAAACAATGTTTTTTCGGTACCAACTACTGATCTAGTAAACCCTTTGACAGCCGGTAATTTAGTGTTGAGGTGAAATACGAACTGAACTTTAATTTAATAATAGATTTTCCTATAGCTCACTTCTCAATTCAATCGTTTGAATCTGTTACGCATAAGCTGCCGTGGAGTCTTCTGCTCCGTTATATATATACACACACTTCGTGTCTCTCAATGTTGTTATGTGGAACGCGTGTAAAACTCGTTAATAATTAATTATTAATAAATTTTTCTCTTTTTTTGAACAATTAATTTTATTTGTTGGGATATCTCTTGTGCATCAATTTCGTGTTCTCTGTAGAAGATATGCTCCGCAATAAATAAGCCCTAATAGCTAGAATTAACCCTAGAAAACGTATTTAAATATGGATCTAATCATCGGTAGAAGTGTCAAATTTTCTTATTCATTGATTCCAAGGAATTTGAAGTATTTTTCGAAGCTACCGTTATTTTTGGTCGAACAGCGTAAAGCTACTAGTTACTGTCACATCCAATACTTGGGTGAGTATACTTAAAAGAATCAAAAACTCTTCTAATATTTTATAAATTACATGATATAATTCAACATCCACCTATTCTCCAATATAGGAATCACCAGTTTGCATCGATCAAATGGGATCAATACACTTAGTAATCGGTGCGACACACAGTTCAAACAACTTTCAACAAGTTTCCCTGTCAAAACTAACACATCTCAGTATGGGACCTGCAATAGGCCAAATTCATCTGAAAAATCTACAACACAAAATAAACAGTGCTCTGAGCCACCAGCAGTGGAAAAACAATCGTTATTCCAGAGGATGAAACAGATGACGAAAGATTATTGGCACATCCTCATCCCTGTACACATTGTAACGTCCATCGGTTGGGCTGGTGTATTCTACTCTGCCGCAAAAAAGTCTGTTTACATCATATGTGTGCATACTGTATTTGTATCTTTTTTTCAAGACACGAGGTTTCACTGTTATCGTCTTCTTTTACAGTGGTGTGGATATCGCAGGGATGCTGGAGTCTTTGAATTTGAGCGAAAAATATTTAGAAATGGTCCGTGGCTCCAGTGCTGGTCACTGGGCAGTCGCGTATGCTTTGTATAAAATTGCTACTCCAGCTAGATATACCGTTACACTTGGTAAGTTTAAACTTAGTTCAGCACTTTCTGTAAATAAATCATCGAAACGATTAATCACTATTCCTTATTATTATAGGTGGCACTACCATGTGTATTAGGTATCTTAATAAATGGGGATACATGAAATTTAAAGATACAAAGGTCAGTGAGGTGATTTTATTATTTAACAACATACAATTGTAATCTATTATTTGTAACACTTTGTTATTTCTTTATCTAACAGCTGAATAAGTCCCTCAAAAGTGCCCGACAACATATATCTTCTTATGGAAAATCCAACTTATCCAGCAAAGTTAATCAGCCACCGCCTCCAAAAACATAGCAGGCAATTTGGTTGCATTTACTTGAAAAAAAAGATAAAACGTGAAGCTATTGTTTTTCTGAAAACGAAATGTACATTAACAATTTTATGACAGAAGCACTATTTACCTTTGATACGCTAGAGATAATGAATGTTGTTTATATTATATATACACATATGTTATTATGATAAATAAAAAAAAATGATTATTTAGTACCGAAAGAAAAGTTGTGCAAACTTAAATCTGAATATTTGAAAAATGAATAACCATGCACCCAGTGAGTGATTTTCAGTCTTTAGCGATGAGGCTTTTACCAGTGCATAGGTTTTTTTCCTACATGACAAACACAGGTAAAATGGCTTATTCAGCATTTCAGCTTCGGGAAGGCTTGAATTACACTTTCAAACGGTTTTCGTAAACTCTTGGTGTACTTAAAAGTACTATATGCTTTCAATTCGAATTAAAAATAATTACAGTTAAAAGTTTAATGCTGCATAATGATTAAAATTTTTTTTTTAAATAAAATTGTTCTTTTAGTATTTTTTTAGAAAAATTAGTTTATTTATATTATTACTTTGTTTACGTACTAAAAAATAATAATTCTAAAATGTAAAATTTTAAGACTTTTTATTAAAAATCTCATTAAAATTAAAAATCTGATTAAAATTGAACGCATATTAAATAATTACAATTGCATATTCAATAGCCGTTTTTTAATTACGTATACAAAAAAAGAATATGTTGGACACAAAAGGATTTTTCAAGAGAAAACAAAATAATGAGAAAATAAGTATATGAAAGGCTGTTCAAACTAATTATAACTGAAAAAAAAAATTTTTTATCGTAAATGGACAGATTATAGTACGTAAGTTGATTAATGTTGGAAAATTATATCAAGTTAAAGCAGTGAACGCATGTTTTTCTTGATTTCCCATAATTTTCACCCTTTGTAAGAAAAAATGAAAAAAAGAGAGGAATTGAGAGAAACGCAAATAATAAGGTGGGACACTGGTTTTTAACAGAAATGTTTAAAATAAAAACAAAAAATATGTACGCACCAGCAAGTCATTCACCACGTCCTACTTACCTCACTTACCTGTATAGGTACGGATCGGTGAGCTACTACAACGTAGCAAACTATTCAAACCGAGTCCGTCCACGTGGGTGACTGTAGACTTACGTCATGAGCCGGTGTGCACACATCTCTGACAACAACTAAAAATTTGGTCTATATATACTAACCAGAGACTTTTTCGCCACATGCGGGAGCGAATCGGAGAAACAGCGATCGGATCAAGGAATCGTTGGGAGAATTGAAAGTGGACGCATCCAGCGGAAAAACCGTTTTTCTAATCAACACCCAACTTTTTTTTTCGTTTTAACCCTTCGGTATTTCACAAACGACGATATTCATGAAATTTGTCGAATAGTGTTAACCGTATGCCGCCACGCGGTCGGAGATTCAGTTATACTATCATGTCAGCATTTACAATGCTGCTGTGTATTGTCCATCCGTTGTCGATAATCAAGTAAAAATAATAATAATATAATATTATAAATATAATAAGTACACTCTAGGGACATTGATTCGTTACGCGCGAAATTTAAAATCAACCAGTTGCAGGAGGCTATTTTATGGAACCAGCCAATAGTAATTACATTTTTGAATTTCGCGCGTAACGAATCAATGTCCGAGATCGAACGTCAAAGTCGGAGGCAAATCGAGATCGAAGATCGAACGACAAGTGCAGCGATTTCGACTTTTAACATCGATATTCGATTTGACGTTTGTCTGCGTTTAGCGTCTTCGTTCTTCGGCCTGTTGTTTGTCAACTCATCAGGTCGTTGACATTTGCCTGCACCTGCAGGCAGAGGTACTTGTACATTTTTTAAATCCTTCCATGCGTCGAGCGATTAGCTATGATAAACTCGAAACCAAGAGCTTTTGTTTTTAACCAAGTGGTGCGCGATCATCGTGGATAATATATTTTCTTAACAATCGTGAAAGAGAAAAAAAATCGGCGAGCAACGATGTTCATCTTCCTCAGCAAGAAGATCGCGATACCGAACAACGTCCACCTAAATTGCATAGCATGGAATCAGAAGCAGGGCTACATCGCGGTCGGTGGCGAGGACGGTATGTTGAAGGTCGTGAGGGCCGAGTCGAGCGCTCAGACATCCGACGCCTCGTCGCAGAGCAACCGAGCAGGTGTCAAGACGGCAGTGACCAACAGCAGCAACCTCAGCATGAACCAGACCCTCGAGGGACACAACGGACAGGTGCAGGTGGTCACGTGGAACGAGGAGCACCAGAAGCTTACCTCGAGTGACCAGAATGGGGTGATAATAGTCTGGATGCTGTACAAGGGCTCCTGGTACGAGGAGATGATCAACAACAGGAACAAGTCGGTCGTGCGGGGCATGGCCTGGAGCCCCGACGGCCAAAAGATATGCATAGCCTACGAGGATGGGGCTGTGATCGTTGGCTCGGTCGAGGGCCACAGGCTCTGGGGCAAGGAGCTCAAAAATGTCTACTGGACGGCCGTACAGTGGTCCCCGGATGCCAAGTACCTGCTCTTCGGCTCTAGGAACGGCGAGGCCCACCTGTACGACGACCAAGGCATCTTCCTCACGAAACTCGAGAACCTTGCTGACTCTCTGCCCCAGACCATCATCGCGATCCATTGGTACGACGGTAAGCAGGGCCACACGGCGGTCGATTGTCCGGTGCTGGCCGTATGCTTCCAGAACGGCAGGCTGTGCCTGTTACGGGACGTCGGCGATGATTTACCCATCGTCGTCGAGACGGGCCTGTCCGTGGCTTCGTGCAACTGGAACACCTATGGCTCGGTGTTAGCTGTCGCTGGAGTTGCCACGGGGGATGATCGGAGGTTGACCAACGTCGTGCAATTCTACTCGGCATTCGGAGAACATCTAAAGACACTCAAGGTCCCGGGCAAGAGGGTTAGCGGCTGCAGCTGGGAGGGTGGCTCCCTCCGCGTCTGTCTCTCGGTGGACTCCAATATATTCTTCGCCAACATCCGGCCGAGCTACAAGTGGGCCTACTTCAGCAACACGGTCGTTTTCACGGACGAGCGGGTCAGCAAGGACGGGATTTGCATTACCTTTTGGGACACGAAAAGCAACGCCCGGTACTTTAAGTACGTGAGGTCATTGGTGGCCGTGGCAGCCCACGGCGAGCACTGCGTCCTCTTGACGGGGTACGGGCCCGTTAAGAGCAGAGAGGAGGGTTACATGTTGCTCGTCTGCAACGCCATATCGACGCCCGTGGATACCAAGTACCTGCAGGATATAGAGCCGGCTTGGGTTGCCATAAACAGTGGCACGGTCGTCGTGGCATCCCGTACTGGCTTTCTGCTTTGGAACTTCAGGGTACCCAAGAACTCGGCCCTCAACGCCGCTGCGGGGGCCAAGCTGCGCAAGGACAGGACGTATCACGTGGACGACACGCCGACAGGCGTGAACGAGGTCATCCGTCAGGACCTGGAGTCACTCGCAGACAGCCCAGCCGCTCAGGGTTACAGTAACAAGGACACCAGCGACCCGATATGTGGCCTCGCCATTACGGACCAGGTGCTGCTGGTGGCCCGGAACTCGGGCATGGTACAGCAGTACTCTCTGCCCCAGGTCGGTTTCGTTTTACAACGAGACTTCGTGCTAAAATACTTATTACATACAATGTCTTCAAGTTTGATCTCATAAGACTTCTCATCAGCATTTTTTATTTTAGCATTATTAATGCACCTAGTAAGGCATTTTGGAAATATTTTTACTTTTACACGATAGTCGCTATTCACGATCACGAATTATTTAAAAAAAAAATTTTTTTTTTCATTTTAATTAAAGTAGAAGGCAAAACATACATAATTGTAAAAACAAATCCGAAATAAGTTTTAAATTTCCTTTTTATAGTTTTGCTTAATCGCACAATAAATAGTGTCCGTTGCTATTGTTTTACGAAAACCTGTCATTCGAAAAAAACCAATGTTGATGCACGCGTGTATAACAATTTGTTTTGTAGTAAAAAATCAACAAAATATTCTCGTAGGTCACGCTGGCTAGGCGCCACGCGACCGGGCACGCCAAGCCCTCCAAGCTCTTCATCAACTGCGACTCTACGCGGGTGGCGATGATTGACGGCCAAGACGTTTTGAGACTGCTTGACTTGACCAACACTGGTAGCGGCATCAGGAGAAGTAGATCGGGAAGAGTCAATCACGCCGATGTCAGAGAAGAGGGTGAGGATCGAGGGGATGACGAAGAGGAAAGGTTATCGAAATTTGAGAGAAAAGACGCGTGGGCGGTCTGTTGGGCACAGGACAATCCAAGGCTCGTAGCGATCCTCGAGAAGAGTCGGATGTACGTGTTTCGGGCTTCAGTCCCCGATAAATCGGATAGGTCAGTGCTAGTAACCCTATTTTTAAAAAATCGTTACGCATGCATTTAATCATTAGGTTTCATCGTTTTTTCATTGGTATATTACTTCAGCCGAATGTCCGACGCCGCCTTCGAGCCCGAGGAGCCGATCACCAGTTCGGGCTATGTCTGCTGCTTCAAGGACTTGGAGATTCGCTGTGTCCTGCTGGACGAGCTCGTACGCAATCCCGAGGGCGCTCGAGCCGAGCTGTTGGTCGAGTCGGAGGTGAAATCGTTGCGCGACACGCGTGAGCTCCTCGCCAAGGTTGGCTTCCAGGAGGCTGAGGAGTTTGTCAAAGACAACCCACATCCGCGGCTGTGGCGGCTACTTGCCGACCACGCGCTCCGCCAGTTGGATTTGGACAAGGCTGAGATTGCCCTGGTGCATTGCACCGACTACCTTGGCATCCAGGTAGGACTCGTTTGAGTGATGATTATATTTTTATCCACTGTCTGATTCAAAATTTAACTAATTATTATTAATTGTTTGCTTGTAAAACCTCATGCAAAACTCACGCATACCTCGTATTTATTTTGGAAAAATTATATTTGCGCGGTGTCACTTGATCAATCACCAACTCGAGTATTTTACCCAGACACACCCATTTGCACTCTATGAGATATTTATTACATGCAATTGATAAGGTTTTTCGCTAACGAACACAGATCGAGCCACTCATTAGCTGGCCGTGGCTGAACAGATTCTTTTCAATATTATGGCTTGTAGATGTGGGCAATGGTATAGATTTTGTTTTAGAAATATTTTAAACTTGAGGAAGCAATGCAAAATTATATGGCTTCACCTAAATGGTAGATTCACCTTTTGGGTGAATTTTTAATGTTGAATCGACCTTGATGCGATTGATAATGAATCGAAAAAATTAAGTGTCAATACACTTGCCTCGATTCTCATAAAAAAATTAAGAAGAAATGAGTACCGATACCGATAGCGTATAAAATTGATTAATGGCCAAAAAATCCAGTTCGTGAAAAAGCTGCGCGGCATTCACGACGCCGGTCTACGCCGGGCAGAAGTGCTGGCCTTCCTGGGCTCTTACGACGAGGCCGAGCAAGCCTACCTGGAGCTCGACCGTCGCGACCTCGCCGTCTCCCTGCGGCTCAAACTCGCCGACTACTCGAGGGCCATCCAGCTGATGCGGCTTGGAGCTTCTGGTGGCTCGGACGTCCAACTGGAGCAGGCGCACGCTCGCTGGGGTGAGCAGCTCGCCGCGAAGCAACAGTGGCGCGAGGCCCGGGAGCACCTAGAGAAGGGCCGGTCCATTGAAAAACTCCTCGAGTGCCACTACATGCTCGAGGATTACGACCAGCTGGCAAACGCCGCGGCCCAGCTGCCTGACCAGGCACCCGAGCTCAAAAAGGCCGCTAGATTGCTCGCGGCCGCGGGACTCGTACAACAGGCCGTCGCGAGCTACGTGCGCTGTGGGGACGCGCGACAGGCAGTTGAGATCTGTGTGCGTTTGAATCGCTGGGGCCAGGCGCTCGAGCTCGCACGTACCTGGAAGCTGCCGGGTATCGGCGAGCTGCTCGGCAAGTACGCAAGGCACCTGCTCTCCAGCGGCAGGCGCTTACAAGCGGTAATTATTATACATTTTTTGTGTTTTTTTTTTGTTTCTCCCTCGATTTATTAAAATTAACCCGATCCACCATCTCTCCCTAAAATAATAGATTGATCTTGACAGGCAAAAAAAAACTCATTTTTAAGTGCATGATATTACCAATATCATTTATATGGAATAGTTATTTACTGAAAAAAGTAGGAAAAAAAAAAAAAAAATGTATCGTTAACAATGACGAACCGTAAATCTAAAAGGTCGAACTGTACCGCAAGGCCGACTGTCCCCTCGAAGCTGCCAAACTGATGCTGGAGCTCGCGTCCGAGCAGGCCGGCCGCAAGGCACCACCCCTCAGACTTAAGAAGCTCTACGTGCTGGCAGCTCTTCTCGTTCAAGAGCACCTTGAGGCATCCCAGCCCAAGACGAGTGTCCGCAGTGGCCTTCTACTAGGTCTGGCCGAAGCCACGGGTGAAGACGCCAGGATCGTCCAGGAGGCCTGGCGCGGTGCCGAGGCTTACCATTTTCTCCTCCTAGCGCACCGGCAGCTCTACAACGGTGAACCCGGAGCTGCCCTGCGCACGTCGCTGAGGCTCCGGGAGTACGAGGATCTACTCGAGCCGGAGCCGATCTACTCCCTCCTGGCTCTGGCCGCGCTGCGCACTGGCTCACTGGCCACTTGTTCGCGGGCAATGGCCAAGCTCGAGGCCATTGATCCGCGCTACGAGGAGGTATCGCTGGAGATTTTTGGCAAACGGTCGCCGCGGGATCTCAGGCCGCCTTCCAAGTCCGAGTGCCTCCACTGCGAGACCCTCATCCCGGACTACTGCGTAGTCTGTCCGAATTGCGACAGCTCCTTCCCCGCCTGCAGTACGTATATTGAACATTTATTCAAATATTCGAATAAATTGTTTATTAATAATGGGCCCAACTGTTGTCGTCTAGTCGTCTCGGGAAGGCCGCTCATGGACCAAGCTGCCGCGTGGCTCTGCGTCGTGTGCAAGCACAGGGCCACCAGCGAACGCGACGTCGTCAACATCAACGGCTGCCCGCTCTGCCACAGTATCATCACTTACATGTGAAGAGCTTTATTATCGACTATACTTTACTCGTTCTCAGTTCCTTTTCTTTTTATGCGCACGGTTTTATTGTCCAGTCGACGTTTTCTTTTTTCACTCTCTGTTCTGCAGTTTATTTGTCCTCGTTTCGATGCACCGTTTTCGATCTTTTTTTTTTTGTATACTCTCTGTACACATCACGTTGGTGATGTTGACTGGTGGTGATCTCAATGTACACTTACGCACGTAGATGTTAGAATTTATTGAAATGAGGAGCCTTTCCGTGATGGAAACAAATGTAATATTCGAGGGAAATATGACTACACAGGCAACGATTCCGTCCAATTAATGCCTCAGATCTCACTCAAAGAATTATTTATTTATACAAACTATTGAACATAGTATATTTACACATTGTTTGTAACTATTATTAAGGAATAAAGTTATTCTTGAAAAATTCGTGTAATTTTCAATTTTTTTTTTTTACCCAAAAAAAGGCAGATGAAATTGATGAGTCGGAATTTTAAAAGTACCCACTTTTTTTTATCTTTCTGTTATGGTCTAGTGATTGGCTAAAGAAGCACCAATGAAAATACACTTTTGCGGTTTATCGCCGAGCAGCAGCATATAAGCATATTGTGCGGCAGAGGCAGAGATGAGTATAGGTATAGTCTATCTCTGGCTGCAGGCATCAGAGGAAAATAGAGTTTGATGCCGCTTCGTTGTGTATCGATCTCGAGTTAACCTCAATAAACATAGTGTATTAACAAAAACCATACCTATCGAAAATAATAGTATCTCGTGCAATAACAAAAAAATTTTTCTAAATAATGACTCGTCCGCCATCCTCGCTAACCGCTCGGTATCGTTGAGTGTGTATACTTACTTGTTTGTAAAATAAAGTGTCCATTCAGAAAATAATTGGAGCCGAGAGTCAGCCCAGCAAGTGTGTGCATTTATAAATAAAAGAAGAAAAAAAAATCGAATCACTATGCCGAAGAGGATATCTCTTATGAACCACAGCGCAATGTCGCGCAAGATGAATTTGGAAGGGGCCGACGAGGTAACCTCGATATTCGACCGGACCCAGGAGTTCATCAAGGCGCTGGACTCGAGCATGCCTTCGGTCACTATAGCCCCGCACGAGCTCAGAAACATAATGGCCCGGTCGGAGGAGAGCGAGCTCACCCTCAGAGAAATGATGGAAGACAGCTCCACGACCGGGCTTGTCATAAAGGCCAGGGAACCCTGGCGCGACACCTACTCCAAGCTCTACTACGACTTTCTGGACAGCGTGCAGGCTCACACCTCCGAATTGCAGGTCTTTGAGACTGTTGCCGATTTCATACAAAACTGCCACGATACTCTCGAATTAATGAGAGGTTAGTTGTTGTTGATATTGTATACATTGTTGAGTTTGTTGGTATTGAATTTGGCTTTTTTTTTTAGGAATGAAATCTAAGGTAGAGAGTCCAGAGTACACGCCAGAAGAGATTGGGTTGGAGAACGAGAGAAACACTTGGAGGCTTATATACTGTCTGTACCAGAATCGAATAGATTCCGAAAACAATCGGACGCAGTACGAGCTGGATACAAAATCTTACATCTCCGAGAAGGATGTGATAGAAGCTCTGTTTAAAAACAGCAAGCTTATCAGAGAGTACCAGCTCATCATAGATTGGCTGGAGAAAAATGCCCTCGATCAGGCGGACAGACTACCGACTATCGAAAATTTTACGGACAGAACTATTCCTTGGGAAAATACGCTTCACCAGTTGAAGAATCAGAAAGCTGGGATCCCTCTTGGTTCCAGCAGGCCAATCGTTTCCTCAATGGATCCAGACGCCCCCATTAGGGAGGGCAAGCCGTTGCACGATCAGGATAAAGAGGATGACGCTAGGTTGGAAAAGAGAATGTTCATCGAGGTGCGCAGTGGTAGATTGCAGAAGGCACAGTCACTGGCGATACACTGTGGCCAGCATTGGAGGGCGGCCTGTTTGCTTGGCTGGGTACCTTATCACGATCCAAATTACCGAAGTCTTGTCTCTGACACGAAATTGCCCGTTGAAGGAAACAAAAATAGAAGCCTGTGGAAGTACTGTGCTTGGAAAATGTCCAATGATGCCAAAGTTGGTAAGTAACATGTTTGCAGAAGAAAAACTTTTTTTATCAATCAATTGAACACGAATCATTCATTCACAGGCCAATACTATCGAGCCATTTACTCTAGCTTATGTGGCAATGTAAAACAGCTTCTTACTGTTGCGAATTCGTGGCAAGATGGTCTCTGGTCGTACATGAAAACTCTTCTAGATATTAAAGTTGAAGCAGAAGTTAGAGGTTTTATGGCAAAAACGTTTAAAGAAATGCCAGAGGAATACTGGAGAGGAGAAAATACCCTGGAAGATATATTTGATGAACTGGAGGCCTCCACAAATTCGATAATCAGCTCTCAAGCTCATGATCCGGCTCATCGCATCCAAAAGTACATTATTTTGGATGAGATAACGACGTTGATGGATGACGTGGAGAGCATGATTGATCAAAAGACGTTTGACTCACAGTTTTTAAGATTCCTTGCTCACCTGGTGATATTTTTAAGACAGATAGGAAAAAATTTGAACGAACAAGTTGCGGATAAAGTTATGTTGGAGTACGTACAGTTTCTGATGGAATTAGGAGATCCAGTACTTGTTGCCTATTACACATCCACACTACCAAGAGATTCACAGACTATCAACTATGCAAAATTCCTAGAAACAGTTACAGATTCCGATGAGCGCAAAAAATGCCTTAAAGCTGCTGAGGATGCAAACTTGAATGTAGAGGCTATCGTGAAATTGGTCGTTGAGAATATTAGAAAGAAAAATGTCGAGCTCCAACCTAATGATTTAAAAGGAGAATTAACAGAAGCTGATTTTGAAAAAATAAGCGCACTTGATTGGCTTATCTTTTATCCAAGTCAAAGAGAAGAGATACTGTGGCAGACAAATGCTCTGATAAGGTACTTTTTGATAAGCAACAAGTTGGATGCTGCCAGGAAAGCTTTGAATAAGGTATTTTTGAACTTTCGATCGTATGATCTTATTTGTAGTATCTTTCGTTTAAATGTTTCTTTTTTTTCAGGTACCACAAAATACCATAGAAACAATAATTAGCGAAGTTCCAGCCTTACAAAATACAATGGAAAATATACTGACTGTAAATATTTTACCCGACAAAGCTTCCGTCTCGATTCGCGAATATTTGTGCTACAAGTCATATTTGGATGCGCAAGAAGGCTTTTCTGAGTGGTTTACTCAATACCATCAAGGAAAACCTCATCCAGTGGAAGAAATTTCAAATTTTTCCACGTTTACCGAAAAAGTTGCGTATGAGCATAAAAAAACTCAGTATGCTTCAGAACTAGAAAGGTGGAAGATTACAATGGAGCATCATACCAAGGTTAATCAATAATCAAGTACTTTCTTAGGATTTTCTAATTTTTTTTCTGAATCTAATTTTTTTTTTTTCCGTTTGTTTGTTTAGGCTGTTAAACAACTCCTCTTTAATGTCCTTCTTTTTCCTGATGGTGGATGGTTAGTTGATTCGGCCAACGAATCTAGTAAAAAACTTACATCCGACGATAAATTAAGAAAGCATCAATTGGAAAACTTGCGCAAGCTATGCATCCCGAAAATCGTATTTTTATTATACACTGTCATGAGTGAAATGAATGAACACGCCGAGTGCATTCAACTGGCTGACATTATTGCTTCTGAGCAACATCAATTGTACAAAGTGAGTAGAAATACATGCATTTTGTTAATAAATTATTAAAATTCTTCTAAAATATTTGACCATTATAAATTAAAAACTAATAATGAATAAACATACTTGAACTGAAAAACTTTTTTTTTTAACAGGTTTTTCCTAAAGAAGAATTGCGTGAAATTTTTAAGAAATTCTGCGAATCGTCGCTCGTACTAATGGACCAAAAAAAGGATCCATGGGGCTACTCAAAGTGAACAGACAATAAATATGATCTCTGTGGTCACGGTGTATATTATTATTTTTTTTTTTTTAATTTAAAAGTTTCCGACTTACAATGTACATATCATACAACAACATAAACAGGCGCCATAGGCGTGAGAATATTAAAAGTATGGTCACACGAGAATCGAAGATTACAATATACTCGCATATACTGTACGGTTTCTTAATTGCCTTATTTAAAACAAAAAAAAAAAAAAA